GTCTGGAATCTGAGACGTTGGCGTTGCAGATGTACGTGGTGCATTCACGTATTGTTGTCGTCTGGATTTATGGAGATAGTAATCACGAGACTGCTGAAGCTCTTCTTCCTGCACAGTATCTGGCACTCTACTGTATGTCTCCCCAGGTAAAAATGTTCCAGTTCAGGTAAACCAATAAGACTGAGGAGGGTTAATTGAGGGAACAAAAATCTAATGGTCTCAACAATTTCCTCCAACCCACATAAGCTTACTGTCAACCTTTTAAGTTGCAAAAGACTAGCAGCTATAGAAACTGGAAACAAACTTTTCATATTCCTACAATATTTAACTGTTAATGTTTCCAGATTGTGAAAGGTAAGAAGTCGTTGAGTAGAATTAGAAGGAATAATAGTCATCAATTTTTCATAGGATTAGACTCTCACTTCTTTTAGTTTGGAAAAAGAATCTTTATAGAGTTGGTTGTGCCATATCAACTGCAAGCTATCCAAGTCTAAGAGTATTATCTTCTCCAAACTTGGAAAAGCAACCTACAAAAAACATCTCCTCATGTTAATGTTTTGGTAATGATAATAAAATAATAATTTGAGACCATTAGACAATAAACACATATCAAACAGATTTGGCCTTTCTCTTAAAAGAAAAATTGAAAACAAAAGAAGAACGTTATAACTGAATTTCTACTAATTAATTGCAGATAATGGTGACATTAACAGCTATAAATTTTTTTAAAATTATGAGGCCAATAGACAACGGAAAGTTTCAATTATAATAAATAATTTCACCTTCTCGTTGAAGAGGGGATTTATATCATTAATATATTTTTCCGAGCCCACTTCATCAGATTCCTTTCTTTGCCTGTCTACACCAAAAGAATTGTGAAAGAATATCTTCAAATTAGAGTAACCCTGTATGTGAAGTTCATTCAAGGTGAGGAATTCAATTGAATTTCCGCTGCCAAATCTTGTGAGTTGTGGAAGACCAGCAAGCTTTAGGTAGAATAGTTTTGGGAAACTCAAATCAATTATCTTATCTTCTCCTTCTGAGTCAAATATTACTGCTTCCATTGACTTACAGTTGCATATCACAAGCTTTTGGAGTCGCACGAGACAATGGAAGATGAAAACATAAACTTCAAAACATTACACTCCTCCACAGTTAAGCTTTTTAAGCATTCAATATAGGAAGGTATTGGTTGAGGTTGATGGACCCATATGTTTTACTATTAATTGAGTATAGTTTCATGTTCTCCAATCTTGGCAACACAACCTGCAGAAACAAATCTCATTCCATAAATAACGTAGAAACTAATTAAAGAACACCTAATTTTATATTAAAATAAAATAAAAGGGAAAAGAAAAGGCAAAACATACCTTCAAGCCAAAACTTATGAACTGTGGCAGGCATTCTAGGGAATGTAGTTGTTTAAACTCGACCTTACAATTCCTTTCGTTATCATCAACATGGTTTGCACTTTCTTGACCAATAATCTCCTTTAGCTCCTTGCAATCAGTTACTTCGATTTCTTGTATCTGAGAGATGTTTCTGGCCATAGAGGATGAGAAGAGATACCTCAACCTGTCATCCTTTTCTACTTTTATGAATATTAATTTGCTGAAAGACTTCGCATTGACTAGGCTGCAACATATCTTCTCCATATTACTTAGATTAACAAGAAACAAAAATTCTAAGATTGGAAAGCAATCATTAGGAGTGCATCCCATTGAGTTGACAATATACAAAATTTCAGAACTAGTTTGTACAGAGAGACGCTTTAATTGTGGGAAACCTTCTCTGTCAAGTTCCCAAAGTATATCCTTAACACCATCTAGCTGATGTAGAGAGAGATATTTGGCTTTCTTCATCAAAATGTCAACCCCATACATCAAATGAAGACTTCCATTACACTTGAGTCTCAATGTTCTCGAGTTCTCATAGTCATCAGACCACGCCCATCCATCTCCAATATTTACTTCATACTTACCTAAATTCTCAAGGATAAAGTCCTGCTATATAATTTGCAGATTCGGGATATGTATGCGTAAAGAGTTCAGTTGAGACAATCTCTTCAACTCAGTAAGACTAGCGTTATTCTGTCCTTCAACTTCCCATCAATCAAAGCTATTACATATAAATAGCTCTTCTAATCAAGACAAGCTGGCTATGACATTTGGTGTGATTACTTTAAGCTTTGGACAATTGGCTAGTTGTAAGAGCTTTAGTTGCATCAATTGTCTAAAACTTTCAGGCAATTGTTCGAATTCACATTCATCAAAAACAAGAATCTCTAAATTTCTTTGCTCTCCTATCATTGTTATATCTCCTAAAGTGCAACTCATCAGACCCAATGTTTGAAGGTTTGTTAGGCAAAGAAAGGACAAAGGTAGTGTTGATAAATGAAATTCACCCAAACATAGAACTTTGAGCTCCATCATCCCCAGAAAAAAGTGGTTTGGGATTTGTAAAAAACGATCTTTTGCAAGACACAAAGCAAGTAACTGGAGGTTCAGAAAGTTTACCCTTTCAGGAAGCCCATCAATGTCTCTATGATGCAAACAAATTGCAATAGAATCTTTGTACATTCCTTTCACCGACACTTCTTTAAAGCCATTGGCATCTTGAATATTAAACATATGTTTCTCTTTGGCAATTGATGCAACAACAGCATGAGTGATGTCATGCATTTTGACCATCTCATTATTATTACCTTTCAACAACAAACACGAAGCTTCAAGATAATCAATCAGCGACTTGATTCTATTCATTCTATAGATAATCATATGAACATCTAAAAACAAGACAAACCCAATGTCGTATACCAGGAAGCACATGAAAGGTATACTAGTACCCACATCAGAAAGAGCACAAAGTAGAAGCAGTGATTTTGCTTCTTCATTGTTCAACAATGTGTAACTCAATTCAATAGTTGAATATAAAGTGTTATCCATTTTTGGAACACATCTTGGATTAGAACTTTTTAACTGACATAACATATCCCTCCAGACATAATCACTCTCACCTTTCAAAGCACTTGCAATTGTTGTAATTGCAAGTGGTAGACCTGCACATTTTTCAATTATTTAAACTGCTATATCACATTTATCTATTAAATTGCCAATGATGTTCCCAAACAAATTTCTTGTATCATCATCACCCAAGGCTCAACAGATACATTCCTCTGAGTATTCATTTTTTATAATACAACTTGTGTTCTAGCTGTTAACAATATTGTGCATCGCACTTGCTCATCGTTGCTTTCTCTATTGTCTTGCTGGATGCTACCTTTATCATCATAGCTAAAAGGAATCCCAACAACCTTCAAATCAAGCTTTTTCCAGATATTATCTGCAATTACAAGGATTCTCTTGGCTTTCTTCAACCTATAACGTAATTGATCAGCTCTTCTAGATAGACTCTCCTGGTCTTTAAATACCATGCCCAATTGACCAGCAATGTCGCCTTGAATTTTTTTAAGATCAAGAGTTTGTGTTACCTCAGTAAATACCACCTCATCAAATAAACTATCTTCCTTGGCTCTCTAAGCAACTTCTTTGACCAGCGTGGTTTTTCCCACACCACCCATCCCGTGCACTCCAATCATATTAACCTTAGAATCCTTCAATGCCTCCATGATATCCTGGAAATTGGACTCTTTTGAGTGAAACCTCTCATAGTCCTCGCTAACAAATATGGATCATCCTTAGAATAACAGGGTGGGAAACTCCACTGAATTTTCCTTTTTCCAAGAGCTTGGCTCCAACCTCTGCCACCTGCTCTGCATCCTTGCTGAGCCTGTATTGCTTCATCAAATCATGACACATCCTTTTGAAACAGCGCCTCTTTGCTTTATCTTCATCATCAACGAGCTTTACTTCACGTTCCATGAAACCTTCCACCCCCCTCAGCCAGTCTTTAACTTCATTGTAAATCTCTTCCCCTTGTCTTTCAACAACGTCAACATCTACTTCCACATCCTGTCTTCAACTTCTGACCTCCTCAATTTGTTCCTTTGCCTTCTCCATATACTTCTGGGACTTGAACACATAGGAAATCTTCTGACAAATGAAATCATACACAATCTCTGTAACTTGTTTTGCAGCTTTGGAAGCAATAGCAATAGCTATTTCAGCCATTACTTTTTTTTTTCTTTCTTTCTTTTTGGTTTAAACAAGGAAAGCCACTGACAAACGCTACTTAGGAGGCCAAGAAAAAAGAAATGCTGAAAAAAGAGATATACTAGAAATGTTTAGACCATCTCTAACCCATTACACCAATTTGGTGCAAGTTTTGGTGTAAAACACTATTGCATCTCCAACCCACTACACCAAAAAAAATATTCTTTTTCTTTTTCTTTTATTGTAATAATCAACCATTAATCTATTTCACTTATTATTTTTGTATATTAATTAAATATTGGGAATGATATTTTTATTAAATAATAATTACTTTGAAAATTATTCTAATTTAATAAAATTAAGCATTTATTTGATCAAATAAACATTACATTTAATATAGAAAAACATTACATCTAATATAAAATGATACCAAAAAAAAAAAAATTGTATTGTCCATTCAAGCTTTTGAGATTAGTGGCTTATTCAAAAAGATGTATTGTCCATTCAAGCTTTTGAGATTTGTGGCTTATTCAAAAAGACATATTATCCATTCAAGCTTTTGAGATTTGTGGCTTGTTCAAAAAGACGTATTATCCATTCAAGCTTTTAAGATTTGTAGCTTATCCAAACAGATGTATTTTCCATTCAAGCTTTTTAGATTTATAGCTTATTTCAAAAGATGTATTGTTCATTCAAGCTCAAAAAGATGTGTTGTCTATTCAAGCTTTCAATTCAAACTTATGTTATAAAAGAGCATACAACACATTTGTTTTGAACACATCTCTTCTATTTCCTCTTAGAAAAAAAAAAAAAAAAAGCATATATCTTCTTCATTTGTGTTACAAAATGACTACACAACGAAGTTCTTCGTACACAAATGAATAAGACATGCATCTATGTCATATTTATCTTGATGTTTCTCAAAACCCAATTTTAGGTATAAACCAATCTAGTGATCAATCCTGGTCTCGAGTTGAGCTTGACTACAATAGTTCCAAACCTGTGTTTCTCACTCAAGTTCAAAACAAAAGATCTTTACATTGTCGAATGCAACCGATCTTTAAAGCTATTGGCAAATTGAGGGAATGCATACGTCAAATTGAAAATATGAATCCAAGTGGTGCTTCTGAGCAAGATATAGTGAGTATTTGTTACATTTAATTAAATTTTTTTTTTATCTAATTGATTTTAATGTTATATGTATATTGTTTTGTAGATGATTCAAGCCAAAATGTTACTAGCACAAGATAAAAGTTACAAGAAAGGTTTCAAATTTGATCATGTGTGGCCTATACTTAAGGATATTGAAAAATTTACAGATAATGTTAACACCGCAAAAGTATTTCAAAGGCAAACCGGTAGGTTTGTATCACAAGAATCAGAGACTTCTACTGCAAAGTCTCCCCAATCGATGCCTTCTGACATGTCGTCAAATTCTCTAAACATAAATGATGAAAATATTGGGGGTAGTTCAGTTTAACGACCCATTGGGGTGAAGAAAGCAAAATTTAAAAGGAAAAATGATAAAGAAGTTTTAAACAGTTTTGAAACTATTCAAAAAGAAAATCGATAGGTCGCTGCTATTTTCAATCGGGGCAACTCAGCTAGGGCACAAAATTATGAAATCCAAATGAAAAAATTGGCTTTGGCAGATATCAAGAAGATAACAAAATTTTATTCAATGATTTGAATTCTACAACCGATCCAAGCCTACGTGAGTTTTTTCAAAATTAACAATCAAGAATTATGCAAAAAAGAGTTCAACAACAAAGTCAAGGATCTCAAAATAACTCTAGTTCTTTTCAATATTTTGATGATCTTACAAGATTCGGAACTAATCTACTGGAATACTAAATTTTTATTTTAGTTTATGTTGTATTTTCTTTTAATTTTAGTGTTTTTAAATTAGTGTTAAATTTTATTTTGAGTTATTATAATTAAATATTTGCATTGAATAAAGTTTTATTTTTAAATTTGGGTTGATTTTTTGTGTAAAATTTAACAATCAAATTAACTTAACAAAATTAAAATATATATATATATATATATTTTAATGGTGCTACAGTGCCACAACAATTTGGTGTGGCGCTAAAGTGCTGCACCAAATTAAATTGGTGTGGCGCTTGGCGTTGGGTTGGAGCAACAACCCACGCCATTTTGGTGTTTTTTACACCAAAATGGTGTGAGTTGGAGATGCCCTTATGGGATCAAAAAAATTCTAAAACTAATGTTTAAAAACAAAAAATACTAAAGTTAGCGAAAAAAATATACCGGATTCACGCAACAACATACGTGGCACCATCTGCTTTTCTTTAAAAAAAAAATTTATAATTAATGGACAATCAAGATGTTGTCACATCTATCGGTGCATAAATTCAATGTATTTGTTTCGGTAACTATATCATTTTTCATATTCAACACTCAAAGTTTTTCATTTAACAATGCTACAATTACCAAAAAAATACACCAAATTCACGCACCAACATACATGGCAACATCTACTTTTCTTAAAAAAGATGTTATAATTAACGGACAATCAAGATGGTGCCACATTTACTGGTGCATGAATTCGGTGTATTTTTTTCTGCAACTATATCATTTTTCATATTCAACACTCAAAACTTTTTTTATTTGAAAAAAAAAACATAATCAAACTTTTTCATTGAGCAATACTACAGTTACCAAAAAAAATACACCGAATTCACGCAACGACATAAGTGGCACCATCTGCTTTTCTTAAAAAAAATTTCATAATTAATGAACGAACAAGATGGTGCCACGTCTGTTGGTGTGTGAATTCGATGTATTTTTTTCAGTAACTGCATCATTTTTCATATTCAACACTCAAAGTTTTTCATTGAGCAATGCTACAATTACCAAAAAAAATACACCGAATTCACGCACCGACATATGTGGCACCATCTACTTTTCTTAAAAAAAAAAAAAAAATCTTAATTAATGGATGATCAAGATAGTGCCACATTTATCGGTGCATGAATTCGGTATATTTTTTTCTGTAACTATATCATTTTTCATATTCAACACTCAAAACTTTTTTTATTTGAAAAGAAAAAAACATAATCAAACTTTTTCATTGAGCAATACTACAGTTATTGAAAAAAATACACCGAATTCATGCAACGACATACGTGGCACCATCTGCTTTTCTAAAAAAAAAATTCATAATTAATGAACGATCATGATGGTGCCACGTCTGTCGGTGCGTGAATTCGATGTATTTTTTTCGGTAACTGTATCATTTTTCATATTCAACACTCAGTTTTTCATTGAGCAATGCTACAATTACAAAAAAAAAAAAAAATACATCGATTTCATGCACAGACATACGTGACACCATCTGCTTTTCTTAAAAAAAATTCATAATTAATGAATGATCAAGATGGTGCCACGTCTGTCGATATGTGAATTCGATGTATTTTTTTCGGTAATTGTATCATTTTTCATATTCAACACTCAAACTTTTTTTATTTAAATAAAAATAATCAAATTTCTCTTTATAAAGTTGATTGTAAAAGACAAAGAAAAAAAAAAGGTTGAAAGAAAAAAAAAGGTTGGAAACACAAAAGTTATTTTTATTTGATTGCTTAACGAAGGAAAGAAGGAACCAAACGCAAAAGAACTTTGATGGCTGTGAAGAGTAATACTATAAATATATCATTTTCATACAATATAATGTAATAAGATATGATTGGCTAATTTAATTTTAACTAATCATATTTTACCACATAATTTTATATGAAAAATATTGTATAAAAATGATGTATGTGTAGTGTTATTCTTACTGTAAATGATGATACAATGTAAGTATGAGAAGCTGATGAAAACTCGTAAGTATATATGAGAAGCTGATATATAATTGAATTAGTTTTCATAATCCAGTAGTGTGGCGTAAAGCTGGGCAAGGACGGGTCCCAAGCTGGGCGAGGACTGGGCTTGTTTGGGACTGGTCCTAAATGGGACCAGTCGCTCATGGGCTTATTTGGGACTGGTCCTAAACAAAATTTTGTAGGGGGGTTTTAGTATTTTTTAACGGTAAAATTTGTAAATTTTATAAAAAATTTAGGCTTGGAAGATTTTTTTCTTTAATAAATTTTGTAAAATTTCCTTTTAACTCCTATAATTTATAGAGGGTTTTATGCAATTATACAAGGGACTAAAACAAAAATGTGTAAAAAAATTTAGACCTAAGTCCCAGGCCGGACCTTGGAGGAGGGCCTAATGGGTTTTGTGCCTAGTCCCAAATGCCCACCTCTAGTGTGGCTGTGGCGGATTGTTTCAGTCAATTTCCAAAGTCGTCATTTAGATTTTCAGTTCCTCCATCCAAGTGTGGGCCTTGATGTCCGTCTTGTCAATGTCATATTTCCATCTACTGTTTTTTCAATTTTTGAAAGGCTTAGAAAGACATATATACCCTTTATAGTTAGTTTTCAACAAATTATTTTATTCAGACTTTAGGGAGGAAAATGTAAATGTGTCCTCTTTATTAAAGAAATAACTAGCTTATTAAATGTAGTATTTTTGAAAACTTGATTGTTTGTATTTAATCATGCTCATGATTTCTAACCGTAAGAATCTCCCCTCACTTTCCCAAAACTTTATTATAGCTAAGACTTGAGAACCTGCCCTCACTTTTACAAAAGTCATCTGCCTTAAGACAAGACAACTCATCGACCTCTCTGCTTAGCGACAAGACAACTCATCTAGGCTTTATGGGGTTTTAGGGAACCCCACTTGAGAGGTTAACCTTTAGTATAAAACTTGGGATCCATGACACCTTTGCATATTTTAGCAGAGAGATTTATGCAACTCGTCTACCTGGCTACAATGTGGGAGCATATCCAATTCTGTCACGGGGAGTTAATTAATATAATTGAATATGACACATTGAAGATACCTATAACACTGTTTTTGTATACTTCAAATATATATTATTTCATGTTTTATAATTATTGAATTTGTATATGTGGTGGCCAATTAATTAAGTTATTAATTCTTTTTAAAATTGCTTCTTAATTAGTTGTTGTAATAATGCCTCAATTATTATTTGAAATTAAGGGATTGAATGAGGAAAAGTCTTATAATGAGGTGTACACAATATGGAAGAAAAATAATTAATCCATATGTGTTAAAATTACATGTATAAAGTGAAAAATAATTTTAATATTTATTTAAGAAAATTAGTTAATAATATCTAACCCTCTTTTTGCGCAAAACACAAAAAATATCGTAAATCCAAGTCATCGCTATCATTAATGGTATGGTGTTAAATCAGAATAACACTCATTTTATCTTGCGAAAATGGAAAAGTGCATCAAAAATTGAATTTGTGTCTCAAACATGTTTTTTTTAACCCAAAAAAAACCTGATCAAGCACGCATCAAAATCGATTTAATAAGCAAATAGGTTTTAATGTCCAGTCATCAACAACTTCCAAAAGGTTATAAATTGTTATGCCTGAAAAAATAGGGCTGATGCAAGACCCAGTTAACATAAAAAGTCAGAGCTTAGGTAGGCCCGCAGCCAGTCAGAGGCAGCCACGTCATACAATGATAGAGTCGGCATGCACCTGTTAGGGCAGTGAGTGCACGTCAGACTAGCCAGGAGCTATAGCGATTCTACGTGTCCAATCCCTACACCCAATCGCGTAAATCACTCTAGAAGTTGGGCAATGAGACATAAAGAAGGATTTGCACGGATAATCTCACCAACTCACAGATTTAGTAATCATAACCTTAATCCATCCCACTGTAAATTGAGAGATCCTCTCTCATTTGGGGGATTAGCTAATCTTTCTAAAGAAAAATAGCATTCACTTTTGTGTAATCATTTGTAAGTCAATCTGCTGAACGCGACCTGACCACTATTATTAATACAAAATCAGTGGACGTAGGATATGCTTCCTTAAGCATCCGAACCACTTTAAACATTGTTCTCCATCACTTTTACTCTTATTATCTCATCCACGTGTGTCTTCTAAGCCAGCTTAGCATTTCACACGTGCATTTGGTTAGTGTCAGAATCACGTATCAACAGTTTGGCGCTAGAAGGAGGGCCTGATTTAGTATCCGTCCTTCATCAAGAGAGTCTCTAACTTACTAGTCCTACAATAGCAAATGGCTCGCCAACTTGAACCTGAGCAAACCAATCAGGGCACTGAGGAGATCCCCCAAGTGCAGAAGGACACCTCTCCCAGGGTACCTTCAGTTTCGCAAAGCATCATGGGGGATGTCCCGTCAAGTTCACAACTCCACCTTGCCATCATGAGCTACCTGGAGAGGTTCAACAATACCCTCCAAACGGACAAACAAAGGTTGGATCGTTTGGACTAGGGCATGCCACCCGAATCAGCCAGAGTGGTGCAACAGCCAAAAATGCCTTCGCGCGGCAAAGGGCGATAGCCCGTGCTGCGAACACTGCAGCGCATCGAAGTAAGGGTAAGCAAGTGGCGAAAAATGGGCC